CCCCCCCCACCTCCCCCCCCTCCCGGGGAGAGGGACGTTAAGACGGCAGGGTGTCCCCCCGCCCTCCGCCGCCTTTGTGCGGAGCGGGGCCGCATCCGAGCCGGGAGGGTCCCGTTCCTCCGACCCAACCCGAGACAAAGTTTTGGGGCAGCGCCTCCTCAGCCTCCCTCCGCCGCCCTCCCACGGTGTCCCCGGAGCCACGCGTTGTGGGACACGGAGGGGTCCCGTGCCGAGCCCCGGCGAGGAGGGGCCGCGCTGTTGTCGGGCAGAGTAGGGCCGCGGGCAGCGAGATGCTGCAACTGGGTTTTTTTTCTGCGAGCAGAGGAGGGAGGGCGGTGGATTGAACTTTGTCATGTCGCAGATAAGTTTCCTCTGGCTTCTTCTCCCTCTGCTTCTCCCTCCACCTCTCCTCTGCACACACACGGCTTTTTTTTTCTTCTTCTTTTTCTGTATTTTTCATTTCTTGTTATTCTTTTCTAAACTTTTCCCCCTGTCCCACCTCTCAGCTGCATCCTGGTGGGGGGAGCCGAGCCCTCCTCAGACCACCAGGCCCAACCGCTGATGCCCTGCTGCTTCCCCGAGCTGCCAGCATCCTGCCTGCGGCAAGCTGCATTCAGAGCGAGTGGGGAACAGCAGTGCCATCCCAACTCTTTTTTGCCTGCCTGCACCTCGCCATGGAGAACAGAGTCCTACGGCCGAGTTTGGGGCAGCACACAGTTGGTGTGCGCTGCCATTCCAGCGCTCTGCCTTGGGGAAAAAAACTGCTTATTAACAACAGGAGCAGTTGCTAACTAAGGCCGTCTTGTCACCCTGCAGCACGCAGCTCACAGCTGTTAGGGTGGCTGAGGCTGTTGCATCGAGGTCTGAAACGAGCCCTGCGTTTTGTTACCGCAGTTCCTGTTTTCCACCGGGTCAGCGTGAATGAGAGGGATGCGGTGACTCAGGGTCAGGCCAGCCATATTTGTTTTAGGTTCTAATTTTCCCTTTGAAGATTTAGGGGTATACAGTCTTCTCTTGGTGTGCCTGCATAATGCCCATTAGCCTTAACGGGTGTTAGGTATGTGCAGGGAAGAATGGGCCCTTTTGTTTGTTAGAAACCTAGGAGCAGCAGGAGCCCATCATCCATCAGCCCAAGGACCAGGGCTGCCCTCACCTGCTGGTGGGATGCAGCCCTTTTGCTGCACCGCCTTCCTGCTGCCGGCATCCCACCCCTGGACAGCACTGCATCAGTGGTTGGAAACGCACCGTCCTCTGGATACAGTGCAGAGGACAGCTCAAACCTTTCCTTTTACTTTCCTTCTCTGCTCAAAATCCCAGGCTGGATGTGGCTCTGGGCAGCCTGGTCTGGTGGTTGACGCTGCTGCACACAGCAGGGGGGTTGAAACAAGATGATCGTTGTGGTCCTTTTCAACCCAGGCCATTCTAAGATTCTGATTCTACTTTGCAGGAAGCTGGTAGTTGTCAAACTGTTGTTTGTCCAGCAGTAGTGATTGTTTTCCTAGCCACTATTTCCCATTGCCTTCGATAAGTAGTGACCCTAAAAAATATGTGTTTTAAGGCAGAAAGCAGCAGGGTGTCTGCTGGCGTTTTTTTCCCTCACCCAGAGCTGGGCTGTGCGGATGTTGGTGCAGGAGCTCTGACTCAGCTCCCGCAGGTTGTGCAGCCGTCCTTAATACCTTGCAACACGTACTGCCCCCCTGCCCTTCGTGTTGTGATTTTGAGGGTGCAGGAGAGGCTTGATGTTTCAAAACTGGGCAAGCCAAGTGTCTTAATGATCTTTGAGTAATATCCGTAATCTTCGGTACTGAATGCAAGTGCAGTTGTTTCCCAAGGCAAACAGACACCGCCGTGTGTCCTGCTTCTCTCGGTCCTTAAGGATGTTATCGCTTTGTCTGCATTGAAGTTGCACTGCAACCGTAACAATAGCTTGGCTTTAGCCAACAAAAGTTTCTTCTTAGGCAGAAATGCAGCTTGGATTGCTTTCAGTAGGATTTCTTATTGAAGTATAACCTGTTTGTGGACTTGCATCGTATAGATTAAAAACATATAGATAAATCCCTTTGGTTATATTCATTATCCCTTGTAAAAGTAGGTGGTGCTTAGAAGGTCATAGGATAAGTGTTGCTAAGCAGCTAAACAGAAGGATGCTAAAATTAACCTGAGTGTTTTTGTAAGGGATTCACTTTTTAAGTTGCAATGGTTTTTTTGATTGACTTCAAATACAAATTTTAGATAGCCAGACATTGGGCAGAAATTACTTAGAAGCATGAAGAAGGCTTTCCTGAGGACTGCGTCGAGCAGTCAAGTTATCCAGGCACAGAAGTAATTCCACCCTTCTCAGTATGCCTAAATGTGACCAGGATTGGGCTCTCTCTGCCCTTTGCAAATGTCCTTGTGGAGTTATCTGCTGCTCACTTCTCCAGGAGCATCTGATGCATGTTGGATAGCAGCCTGCAGGGACTGCGGAGGCTCCCCAGGAACGGGCAGAAAACAAGTAAATCCTGTTAGGCTCAACTCCGTGCGCGTGCAGAAAAAGCCCCTTTTAGCTTTTTGATGGATGATGCCTGGGTTTGGAAATGTGTGTTTTAGGTGTACACTCTTGCAACATGTGAAATCATGCCTGCTTGCTTCCAGTGCAATGCAGGCTGTTGTAAAACGAGCGCATTGTTGGGCCGCGCTAAGCAGCGTGAGCCGGCCGCCTCGCAGACCTGGTGCTTTCTGTCTTGGAGGTAATTGTCCTCGGAGGGGGATGGCAGCGCTGCGTGCAGCGGCAGTGGGAATGCCTGTTGCTCCGTGTCTTTTTCCTTTACTTCCTTTCTGAATCCGAGCAAAGTGTGGGATTACAGCTTTAAAACACGCTTTCTTCAAGAGTATTTGGCACATTGGAAAGGAGCCAGGAGCTGTTTCGCGTTCCTCTGAGTGCAGCTTTGTCGCGGATGTAGTGCTCAGGTACCCTGCAACTCTTTGGAAGAGGATCTGGAGGAGCAAAAGTAAACTCTGGGGGTGAGAAGAGTTGCGCTTTGAAATGACAGACAGCGAGTTGCTTGCTGCTGGGTGAGAGATCTGACCTGTCAAGTTGTTGTTCAGAACTTAACGCAGATTTTCTTCGGGGAGGCATAAGAGAAATCCTTTCTGTGTGTGTTGGTTGGTTTTTAATATCCTACGTAAAAGAGCAGCTGTGGGAGCTTCCCCCCTCCCCCCCGCCTTCCATTTAGGAGCATCTCTACATGCAGGGCTTAGGTACCCTCAGTGCATCACCTGGGAGCGGTTTCCAAAAAGTGGGCTGCCTGTGTAGGGCTGGGAAGGGCCTGGGGCTTGGAGAGCTTTGCCGGGTCAGGTTTGGTTATCACTGTTCCATTACAAATGAAAATAGGTGAGGTTGGGATGGGAAGTGCTGGTCTGGCTCTGGGGTACTTCTGAACAGGAATTTCAGGAGCGTTGTCTCTTTGCTTTTCAGTGCAAGAGCTCTGGTGGCTCATCTTTGATGTCTGCCAGCTGTGGCATTTTCCCACCTGAAGTCCTTCCCTCCCTCCGGCTGTCCCTATCGCAGCCCTGAGGGCCCGGGATGTGGCAGTCAGTGTGGGGCAGCAGCACCAGAGCATCCCGTTCTCTTTCCTCTTCCTGTCTCAGTCCCAGCAGGGTGACAAAACTTGCTTACAGCTCCTGCTGATGTTTTGTGATGAAATGTTACAAGTGCCAATAATTGCCAGTTGGAGCATATGCTGTGGCTTCGTGTCGGATGGCTGGCTTGTCTTGTGCTGCTCTCTTGCAACGGTGGGAAAGGGTCAGAACAAGGAAAAGGGCCTGGACAAAAGGGAGGATAGTCAGTGGGATCCTGGCTCACAGCTGTGTCTCAGATACTTGCTGCAGACAGAGATGAATTGTCTGATGCGACTGAGCAACACCTGGACCCGTGCTTCCTTTAGAAATAGCACGGGTGCCCTGCTGTATCCTGTTGTGCTTTTTTTTCATGGTGGTATTTCTGCTTTCAGGTTGGCCAGCCTAGCAATCAATAAAGGTGGCTGCCTTTGAATAGGTGCTTTACACAAAAGAAGGAGTTGATGGGTGGAGACTGTTTATTCAGAGTGATTCAACTAAGTAATGCTAAGGGACTCTGAATGCCTCTTTAAAGATGCAGAGAAAGGCAGCTGTTTT